GAGGAGGAGGAGGAGGAGGAGGAGAAAGGGTAGAACAGAGGGTCTAAGAGAAATAAGAAGGGATATGTGGGGGGAGGGGGTGGGGATGTACTCGGCCATTGCCGGCGCGTCGTCGCGCATAAAGTGAACACGTTTCCTGGTAATCATTAATTAAGCAAAGAGGTTCCCTTCTTCTTCCGTCGCTAAAACACCACGAACTGAACACTCGCGTTTTCCTAGAAGGAATAAATTCAGGATCTATCTCTATCTCTTTCTATCCTTTTTTGTTTTTTTTTTGTTTTTTTTTTGTTTTGTTTTTTTGACTTTATCTTTGTCTTACTTTTGCACGGTTCTATTATCCTTCTGAATCTTACTTGCAATTTATTGTAATTTTTTTTTTTTGAGGGGTGGGGAGGGGGATTGTTTTTAACTGGAAATTATTTGTTAGTGAATTTTTTTTGTTTAATTTTATTTTTTTGAATTTAATGTATTAACATTTTGAATTGTTAATAATTATTGGAAATGATTATTTTTGATTTATATTTTGGTTAGTTTGGTATTGATTATTTCTGTTTGTTTTGTATTTTCATTGTTTGTACAATTAACGATATTATATAATATTATTATATTATAATTATGATTATATTATTATTAGTTTGATTTGAAATTCTTGATTTGAAATCGTATTACATACTCGATATCATCTACGTCTTTTTATGTTTAAAGATTATTGAGAATGATTTTCATTTTTATTTTATTCCTTTTCCTTTTCTTTTTTTTTTTTTTCATTTTTTTATTATTGAAAAGGATTTGGAATGCGGTAATTCCTTCCTCTGAAAATACTTCTTATGTTAGATGAAACCCTATGGATGATGATCCAAACCACCATAGGCAAAAGTGGGATAAAGTTTCGTTGACGTTAAGCCGACGGATTACGGTCAAAAGATCAAATCGAAAAAAGAATTCCTTTTTTGGACTTGCGTTCTTCTCCTAGCTTTTATATTTTTCCTTTTCTTTTTGTTCTTTCTTTTCTAGTTGTGCTTTTTGAGTGTGGTTTTGTGAACAAATGTCATATTTTTATTATTTAATTTTTAATTTATTCGATTGTATTGTCCTTTGTCATATATTTTTAATTATTTTATTGATACACAATTAAAATTAAATCAACTGGAATAAGGGAAGTAATAATATTTTGTGAGAATACTTTTCTATTAAATTATTTTAATAAAATATATGTAGAGCTTGAAACTAACAATAAACAATTAAATTTTATTTTTCACATTTAATATAAATTATTATTATATTTTATATAATTATTATATTTTTATATATTATATATATAATAAATTAATAATAATTTATATTAAATTTGTATTAAATAATTAATATTAAATATTATTAAATATATTACATAATAATAAATAAAATTCTTAGTGTTCGATAAATTTTGTTTAAACATTTGTGTTTTTTGTAAGATTTGTAGATCTCGGCACAACATTTTCTTTTTTTCTTCCTAGTATTCAATCATTTCTTCCCTTTTATTTCTTATCATTGCAATCATTGCAAAAAAGAAAAAAAAACTGATGATGAAGACCAATCATTTTTAAATGGAAAAAAAAAAAGAAAAAACGCAAAGTACATATAAAAACGTGGACCCACGAAGAGAGAGTACCCTTAACGAAGAAATTTGTCATTCGCGTGGAAAAATAACGTTCGTAAATCTTTACCACCAACCAACC